ACAATGGATTGCTGAAAGTCACTGTGAGTCTGATGATCTTAACAGTGGCAGCATGCACAAGAGGATTGACATCCTAAATGCACCACATATCTTGTTCTGTTGAATGTTTCTGCCAAAAGATGGTTAGACCTGGGGGGAGTCTGTTCACAATTCTCAGGTTTCCTTTATCATATATAAAGGGGGAGGGCAGTGACAAGGGCTGGAATTGGAAACACTATCCCTGACCACAGAGTCCTCAGTCAGGCGGGGGACCAGACTGGGGTAGGGGCAATTGGAGGGGGAGTATACCAGCCAGCTCCTGGAGGGTGTTGCCCTGCTCAGGACGGGCTGCCCTCAGCCCCCAGCTCGGGGTGAGCCATCATGGCCCTCTGCCCAGCTCAGGGTGAGCGATCGTGGCCCTCAGGGTGAGCTCCTCAGCCCCCAGATTGTGCCATCTGACCCCTGGGTGGGGAAGGGGCGAAAAAAAAGAATGCCTAGGGTATCCAGAGAATGTTACCTAGGCCACGTTCTGCCACCCTCCCCCCCAGTAAACCTGAAAGCAACACCCTCAAAGCCCTTCTATTTGTAACTCACAAGTTTGTTCTCTCTAGGTTTGCTCCCTTTCCTATAGGTAACCTTAGCTCTGAGTTTTACTCCAGAATTGACCCTGAACCCAGTGCCAGTGACAAAAAGGAAATACAAGTGACAACTAAGGAAGCAAAGGAGGATGGAGCCTCTGGGTTCAACCAGTCATCCCCACTGGACCCACCTGGGAAAACACTTTGCAGTCCAGAGTGGAGCAAATGACAGGAAAATAGCTTCTAACAGAGCAAGAAGGAAAGCAGCTTTAACCCAAGACCACCAGTAAGGTGATAAAGTGTCCTCCCTTCCCCCCTTTACATCTACACCCCTGTTCAGCATGAAGAAGCCAGAGAGTCGGCATCCAACTCCCAAATCAGTAAGACAGTTGGTTTAATTACCATTGGAAAATGCTTGACATTCCTCTGTAGTATCTGGTCCCCACTGGACCCTCATCACTTCCTTCACCTGCTCCCCCCACCGACCAAACTGTGCAGCTCTGCAACTGCATCCTGGCCCATCCTCACCCTTCTGCCCCCAACCCTCACCTCCTTGTACCCCCAATATGTTTTTCCCAATAAAAA